CAGTGAAAGATAATCGATTATCAGGGTTACCCGAGGTTTCAATATGGAAGGAAAGTGGCTGGGCTATGTAGGAAAGTTATGGGAAGGAATGATAGGGTGTTTTATATGTTAAGGGAAGAAAAGAAGGGGATTTCAGAATGAGAAATGGAGGGATAGGGGGTGGAAGGAAATCAGGGATAGATATTACCAAGTTGGGGTTAAGAGATATTACACACTCTTATCTTAACTTGGGGTTGAGTCTAGTATTTAAATAAGATATGACACACTTATCTAAATAACTAGAACCTAAAACTCACACTCAAGAGAACCACTCTTAAGATATAGATTTAGGAATTTAAGATAGCACACACAAACAAGTGTATTACTAAGTTGGAAATTGGGAATACAATGTGTGTTTACAATGCTCAGGGATGAGCTTATATAGGCATAGAAAAGGGAGACTACCAAGTCTCTTATTCACACAAATTAAAGAAATTAATGGCCACTTGTTGATGTTCCTTTAGTGGGAAAAACACAGGGATTATTGTACTTGTAGGGCAGGATTTTGGCTATTAGTGGTGGGAGGGAATATGTGAATATAATTCACAATTGATTGGCTTAGGTGGGGTTGTTTTGGGCAGGAGAAAAGGGTGGGGTAGCAGGTTATTTGGAGGTATTTCCTGGGCTGGATATGGGGTAAAAACATGGGGAATTGAAGGGTGTGGGTGTGGGTCAAGGTGTCTTGGATTTTATGGCTGTTTGTTTAGCCAAGTTAAGGTATAAAGGAGTGGTATTGGTAGGGTTGTGGCATGAGGTTTTTGGCCAGGGATGAAGGAAAAATAAATGTAGTTTTGGGTTTATTATTTTGGATATTTTGGGGTTTGGATTGGATGAGAATGGCTGGGCCTTTTAAGTTGGAGTTGGGCTCAGGGAAATTATGGCTATGTGGCGGGTTTTAGGATTGATAAGTTTGGTCCAAAAGGAATCATAACACTTAGCCATTATTCCGTTAATTTGTTTAACGACTTTAGAGTCGTTGGTAGTCGCCCGGGGTATATCACTAAACCCTACTACCCAACTTTGATACACCTCCCTCCTTTTCCTTAAACCTGGCCGAACCACAAGGGCCCAAAAAACCAGCCATTCTCAATGTCAAAAAAACAACCAACATTAGGGACCACTTGTCCCCTAGCTTACCCACCATATATTCCCTACATTAAAAGCCAAACACACATAAAATATTCACACCCTTGACCTTTCTTTTATATCGCCGAATGCAACCCTTCACCCACCATATATTTCCCCACACAACCCACCAAATATTCCTCACATCAAACACTCCTCTTTGTTTTTCTTAATATGGCCGAACCTATCTCACTCAAACATCATCAAAAATCATCTCTAAATCATAATATTCCTACACTCCCTTTTGTCCCTCAATAAGGCCGAAAACATCAAAGCCAAAATTCCCCATTATCTCTGGTTTTTCATTCCATAAAAGATGTGATCAGTTGGGAATTATTCTAGATATTTGTTTAAGGAAGTTGCTTAGAAATTTCCTCTTATTACCTGTATTTATTTCAGCCAAAGGGCCTCATTATCAGGCATCTTTTGTAATCCCATTATCAAGATAATACACTTGTTGTGTTGTTTTAAAATCCCTAATTTCTATATCTTAAGGTTGGTTTCCTTAAGTGTGATTGTTAGGTTCTAGTATTTCATTAAGTGTGTTATATCTTAATTGAAATCTAGATTTCAACCCCAAGAAAGGATAAGAGTGTGTTATATCTCTTAGACCTCCTTGGTTTGTCCCCGTTACTAAAACACCTCCTTTTTCTTTCCCCAAAACTGCCCAATAATCGATTACCAGCTTGGAAAAGTTGATTATCAACTCACGAGAAACATCTGCAGTCATCAATAATCGATTTACATATTTGTGTAAATCGACTATCACCCCCTTCAGAAAATCTCCTCCAAATCCTTTGAGAAACTGAACCCTTCAATAATCGATTATCTCTTTAGATAATCGACTATCACTCCTTCTCCATATTAAAACCACTGTTTTTCCTCAAACAACCTAAGCCAAGATACAACATTTGGTATCAGAGCTTCTTGTTCCTATATCCCAAAGGACCAAGAACACCCTTCCACTCTTTCCCCATTTCCTTCATCCAACCTACTGCCCATTATCTTCTTCCTTATCAGCATGTCAAACCCATCTCAAACCCTCACCAATGAAGAACTTCAAGCCTCCAATGCTGCCCTAAAAGCTCAAGTTGAATACTTAGCCAAGCAAGTAGCTCAACTCACCAAGATGAAGTTAAGAATGGCGGATACCCCCGAGGAGAGTGATGAAGAACAAGAGGTTGAAACACATCCTACGGGAGACTCCAACACCAACACCGGAGGCAGCTCTCATGAGAAGGGAGCCACAGACTTCAAGGTTGACCTTCCCACCTTTGAAGGGAAGAATGACCCCGACGAATTCCTATAATGGTTAGAAACTGTTGAGCGCGTCTTTGATTTCAAGGACGTCCCAAAAGATAAGAAGGTTAAGTTGATAGCATTGAAGCTTCGAAAGTACGCTTCAACTTGGTGGACGAATTTGACCACCAAGAGAAGACGCGAAGGTAAGGCACCTATCAATACGTGGTTGAAAATGCGAGCTTTGATGAAAAAGAAATTCCTTCCCGAACAGTATGTAAGGGACAACTTTGCTCGTCTTCAACAACTAAGGCAAAGCACTCGATCGGTTGAAGATTACACTCGAGAGTTTGAAGAACTTCTTATGAGATGTGATTTACAAGATGATGATTCTCAAACCTTGGTTCGTTACCTATTTGGACTTAACACCCAAATAGCTAACGTCGTGGAGCTACAATCCTATGACACCTTTGAAGAACTTTCCAAGCTTGCCCTCAAGGTAGAAGCCCAACTCAAAAGAACAAAAACTCCTTTCAGCCGCCCCTCTCCCTTCACCAAAACAGCCTATCCCCTCAACTAAAACCACCCCTGCCACCTCGGCCACTATTATATCTAAGCTCCGGGTTTGTCGGTATTAAGCTCGGATTTAAGGAAAAAGCTCCTTTGTTTTGCAGGAAGGGTGGATAATCGATTGTCCAAGTAGGATAATCGATTGTCAAGGGGTTTGGTTTCTCCTGAGAAACTCCCAGAATTTTCAGGGAGTGCTGATAGTCGATTATCAGATTATGATAATCGATTTTTGAGGGCTGTGGGTGTTTCAAATGAGGGCTGATAATCGATTGTTAAAGGCGACAGTCGATTATTGAAGGCTGCAGGTGTTTCAACGATGACGGATAATCGATTGTCAATCAAGAGAATCGATTGTTGGGCAGAATTCTGGGCAGGAAGAAGGATGTTTTGTGGGGAAATGGCTTGGAAATATATGGAGATGCTAAAGGAGTTCTTTTGGGTGTTTTTAGTGTAAGAAAAGAGTAAGATTAAGAGGAGAAATGGGGAGATATGGAATGGAAGAAAATCAGGGATGGATAAACCAAGTTGGTTATTAAGAGATATTACACACTCTTATCCTCACTTGGGGTTTGAATCTAGAATTTAATTAAGATATGACACACTTAATCAAATATCTAGAACCTAAAACTCACACTTAAGATAACCCCTCTTAAGATATAGAATTAGGAATTTGACTAAAATAGCATCACACTATTTTAATAATACTCAAAGAGTAAAATGTTTTAAATATTCAAAAGATGTGATACATTTGACCATAGGGCCTGATTTATATAGGCAGGGGGAAGGGGGAAATAATACACAGTGCAATGAATGTGAACATGAGGAAGCTTCCTAGCAACATCCTCTCTCAAAGCATGGGGCATTCTTCATTAAAACATGTCTCCTTAATGGGATAAAATTCAGGGATGGGGCTGGTGTTGTGGGGGTTTGTGTTTTGGTTCCTTGTGGTTGTTTCATGGGTTTTTTTGTGGTTATTATTTGGGTAAAATGGGGGGATGTTTTGGCCAATAAAAGGGGACAAGGCTGGGTATTATTTATGGGTGTTTTGGAGTTATGGCTTTGGGTTATTGTGAGGGAAACATGGGTAGGAAGTAGGGGCTGGAGGTGGGTCATGGTTTTGGCTCTTTGTGGGTGTTGTGTTGGGATTGTGAGGTTTATTTGGGCAGGGAATGAAAGGAAGGAAGAGAGGGTTTTACTGGTTTATTAAAAGGCTTAAAAGAAGGAAAATAACAACAAACAAAAAGGTTTTGGTTTACACACTCTTATTTTTCGGCCAGGGCTAAAATAAGAGTAGGAAAAACTTTATTTTGAAAAGGAAATATTTTGGATGTTTAGGGAAGGTATGGGGAGTGTGGGCTCAGCCTAGGGTGGGTGTAGGACAACCATGGTGTTGGGTTGGGTTCTAAGGCAGGAAAATGGAGAAGTTTCAACCCAATTAATGTCACCACACTTGGGCTTTATTCCCCTGATCCGTCTATCCCTTAGTGGGCTACGGAGAGTCTTCGGGCATGCTCCCGGATATATATCAGCCACTCCCTCAAAACCCAACCCCTTACCCTCCTCATCTAACCCGCCACCCTACAAGGCAAATCCCACCAATACCAGAGCTCCCAAGTGTTTCTGTTGTCAAGGCCTCAGACATTATGCTAATGAATGTCCAAACAAAAAAATAATGGCCATTGTGGAATATGAAGAGGAAGAGATCAGCCCCTCATGGACAGAAGAAGAACTAGTGGAAGAAGAATGTCTCGGAGCGGACGAAGGCGAGTTCTTGGTTATCTGAAGAGCCTTGAGCAGCATGGTAGTTCCCGACGATCAAATACAACGAGAAAACATCTTTCATACTCGTTGTACCATCCAGAAGAGAGTATGTTCGTTGATCATCGATAGTGGCAGCTGCACCAACGTAGCCTCAAAGACGTTGGTTGATAAGTTGAAGCTTAAAACCTCCCCACATCCTAAACCATATACTATCCAGTGGTTGAATCATGGGAAGGGACTACGAGTGGATTCACGAAGTTTGGTCTCCTTAAGCATTGGAAAAATATTATTCCGACGAAGTATGGTGCGATATCATTCCGATGGATGCATGCCATATCCTTTTGGGTCGACCTTGGTTATTTGATAGAAGAGTTTTCCATGACGGCTACACCAAGACCTGTTCCTTCCTCCTCAACAAAAGGAAGATAACACTTACCTCTTTACCCCCCTCCTCACCTACGGCCTCACCAGCCCCCAAGGAAGAAAACCACATGCTCATCTCCACCATCCTACAAACTGAACTCCATGAACTTACACCTATCAAAGAGCTCATTCTCTTTGAAAATGGGGAAACCGAACCACCCACACCTGCCCCGACACTTCACCCCCTAGCCAAACCCATCCTCAACCAGTTTGCCCATGTCTTTCCCGAGGATATTCCACACGGTTTACCCCTAAAAAGAGATATCCAACATAAGATCGATCTCATTTCCGGGGCTGCCCTACCTAACAAACCAGTGTACCGTATGAATCCCGAAGAAACTAAAGAGATTCAGAGACAAGTGGACGAGTTGATGGCCAAGGGATTCGTGAGAGAAAGTTTAAGTCCTTGTGCTGTCCATGCGCTTTTGGTACCAAAGAAAAATGGTACTTTGCGTATGTGTTGTGACAGCCGATCCATAAACAAGATTACGATCAAGTATAGGTATCCCATACCTAGGCTTGAAGATATGTTGGATGAGCTTCACGGTTCCAAGATCTTTTCAAAGATTGACCTTCAAAATGGATATCATCAAATCCAAATTCATGAAGGAGATGAATGGAAAACAGCCTTCAAAACTAAGTTCGGGCTATACGAATGGTTGGTCATGCCATTCGGTCTCACGAATGCACCTAGCACTTTCATGAGATTGATGAATCAAGTGCTGAAACCTTTTCTTGGTCATTTTGTCATTGTGTACTTTGACGACATTTTAATTTACAGTCAAAGTAAAGAGGAGGACGTCAATCATCTCACCATAGTGGTTAAAAGATTGGACGAAGAAAAGCTATATGGAAACTTGGAGAAAAGTCAGTTTTTCTGCCAAGAAACGGAGTTCTTGGGATATTATAAGGCATTCGAGTGGACAAAAAGAAGACCCAGGCAATCCGGTATTGGCCCACTCCCACGTCTATGCAGCAGGTTAGGAGCTTTCATGGATTGGCTTCATTCTACCGGTGGTTCGTCAAAGACTTTAGCACTATAACCGCCCCCCTCACTGATTTGACGAAGAACCAAAAGTTCGAATTGAATCCAAAAGCTCAACAAGCTTTTGAGACTATAAAAGAGCGCTTAACACGAGCCCCCGTGTTAGCCCTCCCTAGTTTCGAAAAGCTATTCGAAGTTGAGTGTGATGCCTCGGGAGTAGGCATAGGAGCTGTCCTTACCCAAGAAGGTCATCTGGTCTCTTATTTTAGTGAAAAGCTAAATGAAACCAGGAGGAGACATTCCACTTATGATAAAGAGTTCTATGCCTTGGTACGATCCCTAGAGCATTGGAGACATTATCTCGTGAGTAAGGACTTCATTCTTCATTCTGATCACGAGGCTTTAAAGTACATACAAGGGCAGCACAAACTTCGACCACGCCACGCCAAGTGGGTCGAGGATATCCAAACCTTCACCTTCACCATCAAACACAAGAATGGAACCCTGAACAAAGGCGCCGACGCGTTATCATGGAGGCATTTATTACTAACGGTACTCAGTACCAAAATTCTTGGTTTTGATTGTTTGCAGGAATTGTACCAGGAAGATGGAGATTTCAAGGAAGTATATGCACGACGTCTCATTCGACCCTACGAAAATTACCTCCTCGGGGAAGGTTACCTCTTTCACGGTAATCAACTGTGCATACCCCGGAGCAGCGTTCACGAAACCATCATTGATGAAGTACATGGCGGAGGGCTGGCAGGCCATTTTGGAATCAACAAAACACAAATCATGATGAAAGAACACTATTTCTGGCCCAAGATGGATAGAGACGTTGAGCACTTTGTAAAGCGCTGCCATACGTGCCATCTCGCAAAAGCCCATGTTTTACCACAAGGAGTTCACATGCCGCTGCCCATACCAAATGCCCCATGGGATGATGTGAGTCTCTACTTCATTACCGGGCTGCCTCGGACCCAAAGGAACAAGGACTCAATTATGGTAGTTGTGGACCGCTTTTCTAAGATGGCCCACTTTGTACCATGCCTCACCACACACGATGCGTCTCAAGTAGCGGATCTTTATTTTCGAGAAATCGTCAAACTCCACGGTGTCCCCAAGAGTATGGTTTCAGACAGAGATTCTAAATTCCTTAGCTATTTTTGGTTAACCTTATGGCGAAAACTTGGGACCAAACTCAAGGTTAGTACATCCAGCCATCCACAAACCGATGGCCAGATAGAGGTTACGAATCGAACACTCGGGACACTTCTCCAAGTTTTAATCAAGAAAAACATCAAGCAGTGGGAGGAGCTTTTACCACATGCAGAATTTGCATACAACCGGACGCCGAGCAGAATTACAGGCTTATCTCCTTTCGCCATTGTTTATGGTTCGAATCCGTTAACACCACTCGAACTTGATCCCATTATGACAGGTACAGGATAGAGTTGGGAAGCTGAACAGAGATCAAAGGAAATCCAAAACATCCACAACAAAGTTTGGGAAAAGATAGAAACCATAAACGAGCGGGTGAGTGAACAGATTAATAAGAAAAGGAAGAATGCTAGTTTTCAACCAGGCAACTTAGTTTGGATCCACCTCAGGAAGGAGCGTTTTCCAACTAAACGCAAATCAAAGTTGCTGCCAAGAGCCGATGGTCCATTCGAAGTGATAGAAAAGATTAATGAGAATGCCTATAAAATCAATCTTCCCGGAAATTACGGGGTTCCTGCCACCTTCAATATCAAAGATCTCAGCCCGTATTTTGAGCCTGAAGAACTTCCGAGTTTGAGGGCAAACTCTTCCGAAGAAGGGGAGGATGTTGTATCCCCGAGAGCTACAGTCCTGAGAGCTACAGTTGATTTGCAAACACTCAAACAAATTGATAAGTCCTTTTCGTTCTTATCATTTACATCATATTCTAAAAGTTATTGCACGTAAATAGTATTTAATCATCTCATAAAATGTGATTTTAATGAATAAAACTCTCATTTTTGTTCTAAGAGTCATAAAATGGGATTTCACATGAAATCATCATAAATCATCCATTTTGTTCAAATACTTGAGAAAAAGCGAATAAATCATCAAGGGATCAAGATTCGGACTTGAACGAGCTTCCGGGAGGTCAAAAACAGTGTTCGGGGCCAAAACGGAGCGAAATTGGGCCAAAATCACGAAACAGCCGCGAAGCCCAACGGACCAAGGCCTCCAGGCGTCCAACTTGGACGCTTGGCCAAGTTGGACGCTTGAAGTTGGACGCCTGGGCTAG